GTGTCCGGATACTTATGGACGGTAGTGTACATATAGGAAAATCATTTTGCGAAGATAAGATGCTTGTAATAAAAGTTTTAGTGACTTTTTATTGTCGAATCATTTTCTCTCGTCAATTCATAACAAAACGTGGAGAGTAAAAATAACGATGAGCCGCGGAGACAACGTATATCAACGGATTATTAAAATCACATGGACATCGAAATATTTATAGGCTGGGTGCAGTTCACGACGGTTCACCACCGCCCAGTTACCTCGGAGGACCCGGCGCCGAGAAATGTCGCTGGGAAGATGGCTACATCATGAGCGACCTTAGACACACCGAAAAAGGATTTAAATGGTCCCACTGTAGTGTGTCGTCGTTTCATCACTTCCTAAAGTAAGATTCTGACGTGTCTCCGTATACTTTATCCTCGTTTGGGCTTTTTACCTTGAATAATATTCGAAATTAATTTATTTCGCAGGAAATTCATTCGTGTAAATGAGAAATATGTACGAATGAATTTCGTACGAAATAGATTTATTTCCTATGAGTGAGGAATACGTAGGAACGAATTTCCTTAGAAATTTATTTTATGGGACGGTGTAATTAATTAAATCCCCAACTTGTTTTGAAGTCTTGATAAATGTTTAGAAGAGGAAAGTAAGGGAAAGTTTCACTTTCCATTTTTGTCTTGACGTGGTTGTTATTCCTTAGATTAAAAGATAAACAATTGGGTAAAGCAATTTTTTATTAAAATTTAATTTTCTCTATTTTTGAGAAACGAAACGTCGAGAGAGATTTGACTTTAACAGAATAAAATTGTGGTACTTAGTGAAATTTAACTAATATTTATTTCACAATTGCAACAAGTTTTTTACAACGATATACATTATTATAGTTTTTCAGTAATTTACTGTAATATTTCATTTTTCGCAGTGGTGATACAGCAACGTGTTTGTACAACGCACCCCACGAAGACGAAGCTCTTCCTCGAGTTTTGCCCGGGAAACTGCTCTCGTTAGATGCACAGTGTAGAAAAGATCGTGGAACGAGCGCTTGTTTTGTAAGTTTTACTTAAAAATTTTTGTTGAAACATATACATCCTTTATTATAAACGTTTTGTTACTACTACAATATTTTTGTCGTACAACCTTTTGAATTTAACAGGATTTGGGTTCAATTAATCAGTTAGTACAATAAGTACCAATTTAGGGCATCAAAAATTTACCTTTACCAAGGAAATTATCAAATTTATTATACATTATATTTTCTAAATTTGAATTACAAAGTGGAAATATCTTAGTTTAAAATTCTAAAATTTCAAAATTACAAAATTTCAAAATTACAAAATTACAAAATTACAAAATTACAAAATTACAAAATTACAAAATTACAAAATTACAAAATTACAAAATTACAAAATTACAAAATTACAAAATTACAAAATTACAAAATTACAAAATTACAAAATTACAAAATTACAAAATTACAAAATTACAAAATTACAAAATTACAAAATTACAAAATTACAAAATTACAAAATTACAAAATTACAAAATTACAAAATTACAAAATTACAAAATTGCAAAATTGCAAAATTGCAAAATTGCAAAATTCCAATGTTCCAAAGTTCCAAAGTACCAAAATACAAAAATTTCAAAATTGAAAATCCCAAAATTTTCAAGTTCCGAAATTCCGAATCCACAAAATTTCTAATTCCTCAGGTACCAAAGTACCAACGTCTGATTTCTAAATACAAATATTCACCTTCATGACTCAATCAATTCAATATCTCTATCTTCATTAACTGACCAATTTAAAATTTACACCAACTATATTCTTCATTTTCGAAAAACAGTATGAAACACTTATTTGAAATTACAGAAAGATGACAGAGTTTGCGCTCAACTATTTTGTTTCGATGCTGGATCAGGATATTGTGTGGCATATCGTCCAGCGGCTGAAGGCTCTCCCTGTGGAGATGGTCAGGTAAACAATACAAACTACACACCCAAAAACAACACTTGAAATAATTAAAAATAACCTCCAATTTTAAAAATTTCAAAATTACCCCATTTTCTCTAATATTTTGTTCGTTCATCTCAATTGTAAATCGTTTGTCTTTCATTACTTTCCTCCCTTCTTTAATTATACTTAAAAAAGAATCTTTCTAATTACAACTTTCTTTTCAGTATTGTCTGAATGGAAAATGCGTAGCGGAACACGAAAACATTATTCCGGATTATACGCAAAATATTCCAACATACGTGCGCCGGGACGGCACTTATAATCCCACAGCTCACAATCGGCCTATTTTCGCTCAATACAACAACACAGAGTACAGGTAATATTTTTTACATACATTATATGGCAAATTATACATATTCTGAAATATAACTGTTTTGCTATTAGTTTGTTATTAGCACATTGGCTGACAAGAAAAGTTCGAACAGTCAAACTTTGTATACTTATTGACAAAGGTGATGAATACAAAGTATAAATATTTATTTATAAAGTAGTAAATTTAAAATACAAATATTTATTTATAAAGAAATAAATGGAAAGTATAAATATTTATTTATAAAGTAGTGAATATAAAGTGTAAATATTTATTTATAAAGTAGTAAATGTAAAGTGTAAATGTTTATTTATAAAGTAGTAAATGTAAAGTACAAATATTTATTTATAAAGTAATGAATGTAAAGTACAAATATTTATTTATAAAGTAATGAATGTAAAATAAAAATATTTGTTTAGAAAGTAATAACTATAAACTATAAATATTTACTTGTAAAGTAACAAATACAGATTTTTATTCATAAACGAAAAGTAATAAAATTGCAAAGTCGTTGAATGTTTCAATATTCAAAAATTCCACAAAAATTAAAAAATCATGTATCAAACTTTCAGAAAGAAATTAAAAAGAAATATATCTATGTTACCATACGTTGAATGCTACGAGTCGTACGCCATCTTGTGTAACTATCTGTAACTTCATTGAATCCTGCAGCAACCATAATTTCAAAAATCTAATTTCCCAAAGAGTACAACAAATTTTTTTCAAACTTAGACTACTTCTTTAAACTCGTTAAAAAAATACGTATTCATTATCTTTGGCTTTGGTAATTACACAGTATTGCAGAGTATCAAATCACGAGTTAGACTGTTCGCGACTGTTGTTGGTCGCATATAAATTATCTTTCTGTCCACTTCGACAAATGTTTGTATGTAGACAGCTGTTGCACATTCGCCAAGTATTAATCAAATATTCGTAAAGGCTTCAGATATTTTCAGCTTGAATCTAATTTTTGATGAGTTCTTCAGGTATTCAGTAAAGTAGATTTGGTCCACGTGCTTTCCGTTCGATAACGTAATACTATGTCACACAGGTATCCGTGGGAATCGACGACACAGAGCACGCCACAATCGAAATTTAAATACTCTTCACCGTCGTCGAGTCTGTTCTCGTCGACGAGCAATCCTTACAAACGCGTCACACCGTTCGCTACCACCGCAGCGAACAAATACACGTACACGACTGCCAGTTATTTGTACGCCAATAAATACAAGACTAAACTTAACAGTAGTAACGATAGTAATAGTAAGAACGGCTATGGTAGCACGACTACCAGAAGATACACACAGAGTAACATGTACAGTACCGTTAGCCCCTTGTCGAAGGTCACCAACGACCTAAATTACCCGAAAATTAGCCCGTTCAAACGTAAGAGTACGGTGAGCACGATGTCGTTTCCGTCAACAACCAAAGGAGATGAAAATGGGCTTCAAAACGATGCTCGTGGTAAGAGAATTCTGTATCAAACCAAAGATACCTGCTTTCTTCTCGGATTACAGAGGCTTCTCTTCTTCATTTCTTTAACATCGTCTTCTTACTTGACATTTGTTATCAACGATTCTATTTGGTCTAATTTATCTTTATCTTTTCTTGCTTCATTTATTAAACATTCTACCGTGAAGCGTTTAACCATCGACAGGTGTTCTTCCGCTTCCTCTTCTTCTTCTTCTATTTTACTCGGATATTCGAGCGACATTAACAAGGTAGTGATTAAAGCACTACAGGATGTCGTGATTAAAATTGCGACAAGCTGACACGTCGCATTTTTCATCGTTTCAAGGTTTCCAAGGTCGTTTCATGCGAATCACTTATGAGGCAGTGATTTCTTTGTGATCTCTATCTCATCAATGTTTTCCTTCTCCAATAATTTCATGGTATGTAATCATTGTAGTACATCACTCCACGGATAATTATAGTTTTTGTATACTTTTTGTAATAACGGCTGGTGTTACATTCTCGTTTCTTCCTTTTCAGTTAGATTAATCCTTGATTGTTTCTGGGTGAATGTATCTACGTCCATCGTTTCATGTTTATGTTTCTTTATTTATTAATTACTTTAATTAATGTGTATTATTAAGCACGAATGAAATAGAAATTGAACAGATTAAGTATAGTATTGTGGGCAGAAAAATTTTCTTAGGGAAAATAACGATACAGGAAGAAAACTTCATCATCTGCTATAATACTTGACACTATAATATTTTTATTATATTATCTTCGTATAAACTTTTATGGAAGACCATTATGAAACAATATGTCATATTTGTTTGTTTTATGTTTGTCAAATTTCAAAAATTTTCAATCACTGCAGCTACATTAGAGACAATATAATGAAAAACTACTGTTAATTTGCAGGAGATATGTCTGATAAGCAACTAAGATTTCTAGTAAATATTAATTGTAATTACCTTCTTCCCCTCTGTCGCCATTTTCTCTAGGAAAGCCTACGTCAGGTTTTATACTTTAAAGATGTTTGAACATCTCTTTTCAACAAGACTTATGCGAATTTAATTAACAACTATAAACTTAACATAATTAACAATAACTATAAACTTAACACGTATATTGTATTTATATTCAGATATGCTTAAAGTACCATAATTTCTGTAAATGTTTATACTTAACGTTTACGAAATTATAGTTAATAATACAAACCTGAATATAAATACATACTTTCACGTTTTAGGTTTATATTTGTTATTAAAAAGTTCGCAACTATCGTGTTGAAAGTGAGCCTTCAAACGAAAATAAATATGGATTCCCTTAACACAATGGCTGCCACAGTAGAAATATCTGTGTATAGTCGGACACTTTAATGAAACTTAGTAAAGATATAATTATTTCAATTTCTTACCTTATGTTTTAATTAAAATCATAAAATTATTCATATTACTTCATCTAATCGGTGTAATATTTATGGTATTCAAAATTTCATTTTTCCTATTCATTAATGCGTATTTAATTTAATTAAATTCATGACATCTATCACGAATAACTTTGTACAGAAATCAATCTATTAAAACAAAAGAAACAACATTACTGAAATTAAAATGTTTTTAAAAAAAATATGGTTGCGTATTTCTTTCACTCTTCGTGTAACTTTTTGTTTGGTATTTGAATTTGCAGAGTGTTAAGAAAGTAATGATCATGAATTACGAAAATATTTCTTCGCATTTTTTAAAATGTAGGAATTTAAGAATTTAGAATTCTATAATTTGAAAATTTAAGAACTTAGAAATTTTAAATGTTTAAGAAATAGAAAATTTAAAAATTGGAGAACTTGAAAGTTCACAAATTTTAAAAATTGAGGAATTCGTGTCTTTGAAAATTGCTTAATTTCTAATTTCCACTAAATTACATCAATATTAGTATCTCCTGTTCCTGTACCTCCATTTTCCTTACAGGATACTACCATGCTCTTTAATCCTTTATTTCTTCTTTCCCTACGTCACCATTTTCTCTAATAATAATCACAGAATACTCTTCACTGTACATACATCGTATTTACTAACTAAATATAAATTAAAAAGGTAACATAGAATAACCAAAATGAAATCTTAAGATTTACAAGAAAATTAATACCAATATTCCTTTAGTAGCTACTGTAGAAAATAGTATTGCGACTTTGAAAAAAAACAACAGTAAGACAACATCAAAATTCTGCAAAATTTTCAATTCGTTCTAAAAAAATACTTTATTTTTAACATACTTCCTTCAGCAGCTTTTATCTTCTTAACAAAAAGGAACTTAGATTTGGAACAAAAAGCTTTGACCTACTACTAGGTCTCGATTTCAATCATTACTTTCTTACCATCTGTACCCAAACATAACAAATATTTTATCTTCTCTAAAAAGACCTACATCCAATTTTTCTTAACTATCAAGATTAATTTTATCCGATTTCTTTTCAGAACCAGAGGGCGATGAGTGCACGGACGTAGGGTCAGATTGCGCGGAGCTGATTGACAGGCTGAGAACATGGCTGTGCCACTTGCAATCCGTAAAAGGTCGCTGTTGCGCGTCCTTGAAGACGATTTGCACCGCTTGATATCGGCGCTGGGACGACGCTGGAATCGTTTAGAAACATGGCGTGGCCACGTTATCCGAGCAAGGAACCTGACATCGAAACGCGTTCGACCTGCAACCTGCACTCAGCACGCGTTCAGCTCATCGAGCAGAAACATCGACAGAAACGGAAATCGGAATCGTGTCCCTTCTGTCCCTTTTATATTCCACCTGTCCACGATTGTAAAGACACGATTTCTGGAGGAACTTTCAAGGTTCCGAATACTTTCGCGGTCTCGTGACCGCGCAGAACGGAAACAAGTGCAATCCCATTCAAATAAGTAGTTACGTATCACTGTGTGTTACCCAGATATAACTTTCTTCTTTCTTCCTCTCCTCTTTCTCTTTCTCTTCTTTTTTACGGTAGTACCACAACAGAGCTTTGTACAGTTGGCGAGTAATAAACAGCGTCTAGCGCGACGGAAACCTCCCTCCCCTCTTTTCCCGTTCGATCGATATTTCCGGTCGTTGAACGGATGTTCATCCGATGCACGTGATCGCGATGGAGAGACTCGTGTTACGATAGGAATCCCATTGTATGGTGCAACGCGTGCAACGCGAGAATAAGCTTCCCTAAGAAATCATGCAAAATTGTAGAGCGCAAGAAGACAAATAAAATGGTGATTATACGTAAGAGCTTAGTTGTTTCCGTTGTTTCCTTCCTTTCATTCTTTTTATTTAGATAATGAGTCATTTAAGCGGTGGCTTATCACAGGACGCAGGAGTTATGGTATCACAACCTCAAGACCTTAAAATAAAATTGAATATGATCAAACGATAGCTTTAAACATTAATCATTTGTTCAAAAGTACAAATAGAATTCTTCTTGATAACAGAACTCATCTTGACTCTGATGATCACGATAAAGTATAGGAATTATTGAAAATGATACGCATATAAATACAGCAAGAAAAAAGGAAACAATCTTTTAAAAAAACCGCCAGAAATGCTGATAACAGCGCCATCTAACACCAAACTGCTGAACTATGATGAACATGTGTAAAGTATCGACTGGATTCTGTCGGTAATTAATTGATTACACTTCAACGGTAATATACCATCAGCGAAGTATCTATTGTAGTTCCACATATCACTAAAAAATTAGAGTCCATCTAGCGGCGCAACGGGTGAACTAAACCTAAAAAATGAGGGTACGTACACGTATATATGGAAAATAAGAAAATGAATATTTCGGCACTTTGACGACGTAGTATGGTTCCTGAGGCATTTAGAAACAAATTTCTATTGGGGTTTGATGCGTTTTGATGCCTAATAAAGCCAGAAAATCAATTTTTGTCGAATTCGGTCCAAAACGGTACAGGTGGCGCCATCTAGCGGCGAGCGGCGGAACTACGAAAAACTAAAATTTCGATTTTCTCCGAAATGAGGCAATTTTACGCATTTCTGAGGGTCAGAAATTGTTCTGTGACCTCTCTCGAACCTATATATTGCTGCAAGAACATCCTCAGAACGCTAGAAAAGAAAATAAAAAAATAGGTCAAATCATGGACTAAAAAATTGGCGTCCATCTAGCGGTGAAAGTTGGAACTACAAAAATACAAAAATGCGATATTCTCGAAAATTAGCGAACTTTGAGTACTTCTAAGGCCCAGAAAGTGTTATGTGGTCGCATTAGAAGCAAAATAATGCAATACAAGCTTCCTGAGGACTTTAATAAAAAAAATTTTAAAAATGTAATTTTATGGAGAAAATTTGTGGCGCCATCTAGCGGCGAAACTGCGAACTAAACTGAAATAACGTACGTCCGACCGCGCGTTAAGGGGTCAATTAAAAATTGATTTTCTGGGCTTAATAGGCCAAAAATGAGTAACTTATTCAGCACAAATTGCTTTAGAAAGTCTAAAGAAGTATACTACGTCGTCAAAGTTGCGAAATATTACTTTTTATATTTTTCCTTAACGCGTATACGGGCATACGTTTTTCGAGTTTAGTTCGCGGTTTCGCCGCTAGATGGCGCCACAAATTTTCTTCATAAAATGACATTTTTTTTATTTTTTTTATTAAAGTCTTTAGGAAGTTTTTACTACATTATTGTGCTTCCAATGCGATCACATAACACTTTCTGGGCCTCAGAAGTACTCAAAGTTCGCTAATTTTCGAGAAAATCGCATTTTTGTATTTTTGTAGTTCTAACTTTCACCGCTAGATGGACGCCAATTTTTTAGTCCATGTTTTGACCTATTTTTTTATTTTCTTTTCTAGCGTTCTGAGGAGGTTCTTGTGGCAATATATAGGTTCGAGAGAGGCCACAGAACAATTTCTGACCCTCAAAAATGCGTAAAATTGCCTCATTTCGGAGAAAACCGAAATTTTACTTTTTCGTAGTTCCGCCGCTCGCCGCTAGATGGCGCCATCTGTACCGTTTTGGACCAAATTCTACAAAAATTGATTTTCTGGCTTTATTAGGCATCAAAACGCATCAAACCCCAATAGAAATTTGTTTCTAAATCCCTCAGGAATCATACTACGTCGTCAAAGTACCAAAATATTGCACTTTGCATGCGCAGTAGAATTGACATAGGCGGGTCATGTACGTATCACAATGCTGACACAAAATAATTAATTACTCGTTACCCGAACAGTATTTATGAATTTTTATGATCGCACCATGTAAATAATACATTGCTGATTATTCTTTAATCATAAAAGTTCATAGTCTGTGCTCAGGAAGTGAGTAATTAACGATTTTGTATACTCATTATCGTGTATATTCCTCCTGCGCGCCGCCCGCTCATGCCACGGAGGGATAAATACCGAAAAACCATATCCCCATAGACTTTAATGCAAAATTGAATTTGTTCGTGCTTATGTACTTGACTTTACAACTTTTTTGTCCACGTTTTTCTCTTGCACCACTCAACCAATTCAACCGGATGACACGGTTGACTATTTCTGCTTTTAGGTTAGGCGCGGAGCGCCTCAATCAAACAGACCTAGTTATTTATGCTGCTATGCCGTTTTAATCTGAAAATAATACGCATATGTGCAGAACTTCGACGAAATTTTGGTATATATGTAAAATAAAATTTGTTTAACATTCATAAAAAATAAAATAATAAATTTTGCTTTATTTTGTCGTTTGTGCGAGTACAGTTATCTGCTGTCACGTGTGCAGTTATTCACTTAATCGACTATTGCTTAATTTTTTCCTATTCACTAAATCTGGAAGTATGGTAAAAAAATTACTTCTGCATCTTTTTACATACAAAAATATAAATACACATATATGTATTTATTCAATTATAAATATAAAAATGAGAATACATTAAGACACATTACAATCTTTATAAATATTTCATTATAACAGCTTCAATGAATGGAGCATAAATTTCTAATTCTTGAAATACAGTTATACATAAATTCGTAACTTACATAAACGATAACTTATAATAATACCTAAATAAATATAAATATAAATAACAATTATGTCATGGATAATATTTTAAAACTTATAGTAGCAGCTAATCCTTAAAACAGTTGCATATTTTATATACATTATATTACATTTATAAACAATAATACTAATTTCATTGAATAATTTTTGGCTCAATCCCTATTTCTTCATATAACTCATTTTTACTCCCAGGATAATTTTCCAAGATACAATCTATAATTTCGGTACATAAACGTTTACGTTTTGCATATTCACGTGAGTATTCATCTAATGCTCTTTCTGCTTTTCTTTTAGTTTCGGTCAAATCTTCATTACTGCTTGTATCCATCAATTCATCTAACTTATTTGTTAACACTCTTATATTTTCTTCGAGCACAGCTTTTTGCCTTTTTGCTTCTTCGACTGTAATACTAGACTTCACGGATATTAACAATGCTTCTTGCACTTTAATTTCTTTGTCCAATTCCTGATATTTACTTTCAACTTCATTGGCATGTGCCTGTAATTCTCTATCTATTCTCATTAATTCCTCTACATCAAGATTTGAATCTTGAACTGGACAATAAACCTTTTGTTTCCCATATACCTGACAAAATACAGGTTGATTATATTGTTAAAAGTACAGATTTAATAAAAATAAGAAATAATTTTACTTTTTCAAATACTTTCCCTTCCGCAACCAATTTGTCTACAGCTTTTTGTACTGCTGATTTACCGTATTCATTATGTAGATTGGATACTATTTCATTTATACTATAAGGTCTATTTTGTACTTTCATGTATTTATATACCGTATCCGCCATGGTTGCTATTAGTATGTCACTTTTTTCTTCATACAAAACAATCGACCAAATATTTATATAACTTATTTAACATTTATTAGATTATTCACTGCAATGATAAAAAGTGACATGACACAAACTTTATACATTATTGTAATCATAATTCTTATCACGTAGTTTACAAACACATACGGTTTCACAATTATCTACAATTCCTTTTCATTCATTGAAAACATTACTACAGATCTAATCACCGCAAGTTATTTCTCCGCCGATGGAATTTATTGATGTGTAGGTTAAACACCCATTTTTTGTTTTAACCTAGAAAATAGCGTTGATTATTAAAACAAAATACAGGAAATTATAGATATAAATAATCTGCATCTACCTTTGTATTTCAACAGGTTTATTTTGTTTTGTTTATATTTCTACGAAAATATAGGAAATCGCACGATGGACATGCAACAAGTGTTTAAATCCCGTGACATATCTAAGTACTAAAAAGGCGCGGAATTTGATTGAATATTTGTCCTGAAATGAAATTCATGAAATTAATTAGTAAAGAATGTTCAAAAGACGATATAACATAATAGGAAATATCATAATTAAACAAGTATTTAGAAATGACTTATTTTTTTCGATAAAAATTATAATAATTCTTTATTTCTTAATTTTACTGAAATAATTGGTGCAGATTAAAAAAGGAAATATACTTAGTAATTGAAATATGAAGAATTATTTGCCAGAATATACTGTATTAAAGTCCTCGGTTATAAGTTAATATCTCTTAATATTTAACACGTAACATCTACCGCTCCGTCTGATACTTTTATTCGCTCATAAAATTAAGGCGCTCACTCACACAATATGGTGAGATGTTTACGAATGAATCGAGCATGACGATCCGTGTTAGACGTAGAGTAAATAGAAAAATAACCGCATTAAACCAAGTTGTGACAAACAGACGCAATTGCTGCGAATTAATTTTTCCCAGCAAAATACGGAATATAGTATAGTAATCTATAGTAATCTATTGTATACACGTATATAGTGAGCTTCAGTGTGTGTAGAAGATGCACGGTAAAGACGCAACTGAGCGAGTTATCTTCGGAGAAGAAGTGTGAATAGTATCCTCGAAGCAACGTTCTGCTCTACGTTTATAATGGGTGAATCAATTATTCTAATAATCACGTTTCGTTTAACCTCTCACCGTTACTAAAACTAATTAACATGGCGGTAATTTTAAATCGTGTTCGGTTTTTCATAAAGTTCAACGCGTTTTGTTTACGCTAAATAAATAACTGTGTGATAAACGTAATACTCCATTGTTATCGCGTGATAAATTATTAAATCAAAACTGAATATTGTAACAGTGAGCAAAGAAGTTTCTTTTGCAAACTCGGAAATAAAACTTCGAGTGTCCTTGAGAGCCACTAAACACTATGAGTTAATATCTCTGAGTCCAACTGCAAATGAATTGCCTAAGAAACAGTAAATTAATACATCGTTGTATTTGGATAATTTCTTCGGCTTTTAGGACAAGTGACATTAATATTGAGATAAAATTTGAATCATGTAGTATTTCACTTCTGTTAACTCCACATGGAAATTCAAAATCCGACATGCATACGCAATTTGTCAACTAAAGTTTCAAGTGACCTCTATGTTTTATACATGTATGCCCATGAGTGACCTCTGTGTTATAGCCTGTATACCCATGATGACCAGATTTCACGGTTTGAAAGTGTAGCGGAGTTAGTCGCTTATGAGAGTTCGACGAAAGCATAGCAAGTTTTGTTCTTTTAGTGGAAGAATCAATCCGTGCGTATTTTATTGCAATTTATAATAAATATATATACTCGCATTTTGTTTTCTGAACTTAAACTAGTCACTTTGAAATGGTCAATCAGAAATGGTCATTTTGACCATTTCTTTAATTTAATAATGATTTCTCCTTCCTCGCCATTTTAATAATTTTGACGTTACTGCTTTAGTGTTTGATTTTAATTTTTATTGAAATATAAATGCATGCGGTATTTTTCGATACAGCTAATATTTCAAAAATACACCGGCAATCGTATTAGTTTAACGCTTCGTGTAATGCTTTATCCGTGTAAAATTCATATCAAAGTATTGAAGAAGAATATCAACAATGACGAAGAATATTTCAATAAATGTATAATGTTATATACAGAACGCAAACGCGGTAAAAATATCTAATGTAGACAACAATTAACCTCGGTAAATATTTTTAAAGTAATTGACCTGGACGATTTCGATGACCTTGAAATGTGTAACCCTGGTTAATGCTCTAAGCAACTTTTCCTTATAGCTATTTCTTGACCTAGATATTTGATGCAAAAATATATTCATTACTGTACATGGTTTGTTACTTACATGTACGTATTATGTAAAACAAACGATATTTAACTATACAAGTTATATCTTAGAAACTTCAGAATTTACCTGACACTACAAGTACCTTTCTTTAGAAGTATTTTCATTAAATCTTCATTAAACTGCAAAAATATTTTCAATTTAAAGGTATATACTCTGTAGTTTCATCAGTTACTAAATATTTCAAGAGTATTCGCATTTTTGAATTTCCATGTAGGGTGTCCATAGAGTCACGTAAAATATAAAATCTATTTACCTCAAAATTTATCAAAAATCTTTTGTATAAAGGTCTTAATAGTGCTTTTATACTAAAACTAGATAAGTTGCAGTAAATATAGCTTGAAATTCGTATTAGTTATTACATATATTTTAATTAAATCTTCATTAAACTGCAAAAATATTTTCAGTTTAAAGGTGTACTCTATAATTTCATCAGTTACTAAAAATATGAAGAAAATTTGCATTTTTGAATTTCCATGTAGGGTGTCCATAAAATCACGTAAAATACAAAATCTATTTACCTCAAAATTTATCAAAAATCTTTTGTATAAAGGTCTTAATGGTACTTTTATACTAAAACTAGATTAGTCACAATAAAATTCGACAAACTACAAATTCAAACTGCCGAGTTAATTGCCAAACTTACTTTTTGCATAATTACTAGTTACAGAGGTAACAATATCGATGTAATTCCTCAAATGTAAAAGATTGTGATTAATACGCTACATGCGCAGGCACTGACGTAACAAATCTTCGTAAATATAGCTTAAGATTCGACAAACCATAAATCTACACTGCCGAAATAATGAATAAACTTATTTTTTCCGTAATTGCTAGTTATACAGATAACAATATCGATGTGAACCCTCTATTGTAAAAGAATGTGATTAATACGCTATATGAGCAGCAATGACGCAAGGAATTCACGCTGATATGCCATTGCTTATCGGTTTAATTATAGTCCGAATTCTGTAGTGAAACATGTAGCTGCAAATTGACATTTCTGTATCGCGTATATTTAAATATTCCTGCACATGTTTTCTACTGTATATTCCACTTTCTCATTCGTTTCATATTTTTTTTTAGTAGATGAATATATGTTAGAATGTACTTGTATTTAATTGCTATATGCATTTTATTATATTTCATTTTTGAAATAGCTGATTTTGGAGATGAAGCTATGGTATATGTGTGAAAATAACAAATATGTGAAAATATAAGTAAATTTGGAAAATTTGAAATTCGGGAGTCTGGAAGTCTGGATGTTTAGGCATTTGGAAACTTGGGGATTATGCGTTTCGAAAGTAGGACAATTTAGAATTGATTGAATTTGGAATTTTGGGAAATCAGGATTGTTGAAATTTAGAATTGTGAGAAATTGGAATGGCTGAAATTTGGAATTTTGGGAAATTTGGAATTGTGAGAATTTGGAATTTTGCGAAATTGGAATTGTTGAAATTTGGAATTGTGGGAATTTGGAATTGTTGAAATTTGGAATTTTGGGAAATTGTAATTGTGGGAATTTGGAATTTTGGAAAATTGAAATTGTTGGAATTTGTAACTATAGGAATTTGGAATTGCGGGAAATGGGAATCGTAATTTGGAATCGTTGGAATTTGGAATCGTTCGAATTTGGAATCGTTGGAATTTGAAATCGTTGGAATATGGAATCGTTCGAATTTGGAGTCGTTAGAATATGGAATCGTTAGAATTTGGATCTGTCAGAATTTACAAATGTTTGAATTTGGGAATTAGCAAATTTAAAAATTTGGAAATTCCAGAATTTAAGCATTCCTGAAATTGGAAACTTAAGAATGTGTAAATTTGTAAATTTGAAAATTTAAAATATCTAAATTTGAAAAAAAAAAACAATATGATCCTTCAAAAAATTATAAAATTAAAACTGTTTCAGATTTGCATATTTAATTCTCCAAAATTTAATGCAATTACTGGCTTTTTCCCTACTTTTCACTGATTTTTAACCATCGAAAGTCTCAATCGCATTTAAATGTTCATCATCAAGATGTTTATCATCAAGATGTTTATCATCAAGATGTTTATCATCAAGTGCAGATAACATGTAAAAGCAACTGTCTCCATTAGGAGCTATCCTGTCATTATTATTTACAAATTAAAATTAAAGACACGTTATCTTTTCAGCATATGAGAAATCACGTGAGATGTTACAAGTAAGATATCTTTGAAAGCTAGTAATCTTTTTGATTATCTACAATCATAATCAGAGACACACAGACAATTATTTACATTGCGATAGTTGCATAACATTTTACTCTATTTTTGAAACCAATTACAGTTCGTTAAATCGCTCAAAAGTCGAGTACTGTTTACGAATTAGTTTGAACCCTTTGCATTTCATAATTTCTATAACCTAACCTAACCATCTCCTTCATTTACAAAATACATCAAAAAGGGGTTCTCAATAAAATATATGGTAATACTGAGGAGTATATGACAAATACATTTTTTGTTTATTATAAATAGTAAATAAATGAAAAAGTATAATTCATCTATTCTATTTATCTGAATTATTTAAAAGATTCAATCTGAGAGAAATGTGATGTCGAGCCACTCTCGAGAAGTGAAAGAGGAAAGTAGGCACTTTGTTCTTTTATTACGCAATGTTTATTTACGTAGCGTAAAATTTTTGCATTTGATATCACATAAGGTTGATTATCTATTGTTAAAGAAGGCATCGTAATTCTTGTTCTGATGTTGAGTTTCATCATCCATATCAATGATGATATAGCAGTTTCTTTGAAATGTAATCCTTCTTCACCATAATCTGCAGAGAAAAGCAGTTACATCAAAATGGCGATTAAGATTGTTCATACGATAAACGCCAATTTCCTATGTGTACAGATTGAAATTATTATATCGTAATTTAATATTGAGACTCACTGCAGAAAAGAATATATCTTCAACAAACTAGATCACTTTCAAAATAAATGTCTTAAATAATATAATATTGCGTAAATAAAAGAAAAATTGTCACTTAGGTACACCTTCTTCAATATATGACAAATCATTTATTTCGAAAGAAAGGACAAGCTATTACAAATGACTTTTTGTTCGACCAAGCAATTGAAAAATTGGCCTATTCTTCCAAACACAACTGAATTGTTTAACAGCTGATACGCAAGCCTTGAGCATGCACTACAAAAGAAACAAATGTAGAAAGACAGAATACTCCACCTTTGTTCGTTATAATATCTACTCTGTTATGAACTTGCATTTATTCAAGACCACTTGCAAGTAGTATTTTGAACTCGTGTTTTCTTGCTATTTCATCGTAAAATGTGTCATTCCACTTTACGAGTTATCTGCGTTCGATGTGTATACATGTCAATTGACAAATTGTTTTTGATTGACGTGCATACGGGTTATGTAAAATGAAAAATTGCTATTTGTAGCAACTCGAAATTTTGATAAGAAATATCATTGGACGAAAATGGAATTATGGAAAATTGGACATGTAGAAATTAGGAATTGTGGAAGTTTGTAGTTATAGAAATTTGGAATTGCAAGAATTTGGAATTGTAGGAATTACCAATTGTATGAATAGGGAATTTCGGGAATTTGGAATAGTGGGAATTTCGAATTTCAAAAATTGGAATTGTGGGAATTTGGAATTGCAAACATTTGGAATTGTAAGAATTACCAGATATAGGAATAGGGAATTGTAGGAATTAGGCATTGGGAAATATGGGAATAGGGAATTGTGGAAATTGGAAGTTGTGGGAATTGAAAATTGTGGGCATTGGAAGTTATGGGAATTGGGAATTGTGCGAATTGGAAGTTGTGGGAATTGGGAAATGTTGGGAATTAGGTAATGTGGGAATTGGGAAATGTGGGAATTGGGAAATGTGGGAATTTGGAATAGTGGGAATTTGGAATTGTGGGAATTTGGAATAGTGGGGATTTAGAATTGCAAAAATTTGGAATTGTGGGAATTGTAAGAATTACCAGATGTAAGAATAGGGAATTGTAGGAATTAGGCATTGGGAAATATGGGAATAGGGAATTGTGGAAATTGGAAGTTGTGGGAATTGTATATTGTGGGCATTGGAAGTTATGGGAATTGGGAATTGTGGGAATTGGGAAATGTGGGAATTAGGCAATGTGGGAATTGGGATATGTGGGAATTGGAAGTTGTGGAAATTGGGAAATGTGGGAATTAGGCAATGTGGGAATTGGGAAATGTGGGAACTGGGAAATGTGGGAATTGGGAATTGTGAGAATTAGAAGTTGTGGGAATTGGAAATTGTGGGCATTGGAAATTGTGGGAATTGAGAAATGTGGGAATTAGGCAATGTGGGAATTGGGAAATGTGGGAACTGGGAAATGTGGGAACTGGGAAATGTGGGAATTGGGAATTGTGAGAATTGGAACTTGTGGGAATTGGGAATTGTGAAAATTGGAAGTTGTGGGAATTGGGAATTGTGGGAATTGGGAATTGTGGGAATTGGTAATTGTAGGAATTGGTAATTATACGAATTGGGAATCGTAGATATTTGTAATTGTGGGAATTTATAATTGTACAAATTTGAATTTTATGAATTTGAAACAGGAATTTTAATTTTGGGAAGTTGAAATCGATAAAAGAATTTGGATAAATATGTTTCCTTTTTATTACTGATGATATTAACAAAAATTAGCTTGTTGTTTATATACCATACCCGTCTCTGACTATAATTTTAGTATGTGGTTTACAAACCACAGCCGCACTTATCTGCTTAATTTTCAAAATGAGTTTATTCTATCCTCTGACTACGTCACCTAGTCAGAAACAAAGTCGCAATATGTCTCCTCGTACTTTTCCGATTCTATTTATAGGGAACAAATCCCCACTTTTTCGGGAAAAGCCAACACGTTGTCGCATAGTGCCAAGATAAAAATAATCAGGTTCTTATCCCGTTATCATCCCAGCCAACTATTCGATTAAGCCCGGGATTATAGTGGGGTTGTCGCAAAACGGTCACCGTCAACCACAAACCCCATGGCTCCCCCTTACATACTGTCCAGAGCACGAGAGAAAAGTAGCGGGACGGGAACGGGGCTAGAGGGACGAAAAGAGCATCGCAGTGGTCGGATTGTAACGTTGCCGCCTATTGTCACACGCATTTTCGGCAACAACACGCTATTTGTCGAAGCGCACACATACACTAATCGGTCGCGTGACGCGGAGAGTGGGTCAGATATATGTAGAACAAGCGAGACAGAACGAGCGATACGTTGAGCGGCATTCCATTGTCGTAGTGTCCAAAAGTTTTACGCATCGCGTAAGAGGAAAAAGATAGAGTTTTTTAACATATAGTCGCAATATCTGTTTCTATACCTATGTAAAACCACACCATTACGGATGAACGGTGGAAGCTACGCGTGAGTCGAAAAGTGGGGATTAGGTGGTCCTAGCGGCCTACCCTCTTTGCCCCGTTCCCGTCCCGCTACTTTTCTCTCGTGCTCTGGACAGTACATAATCTTCCCTAAACTCCACATTTCATCAATGCAAAATTCTTGAAACTCGATGTCTCCAATACGCGTTTTTAAAAAGGTTGAGAACCGTCGATAGATTATCTTCACTTTTTCCCCCGCACAAAATTAATTAAATGATAATGCTAAATGAAGAAACAAGTGACAGCTTGTACAATTAATTACGGAAAATCTTCATCACAAAGGGTATCAAATAAATTTGATATATGTGAGCAAAGATCCCAGATAACTGCCAGATTCGATTAACTCTGAATGTATATTTAATTATATCGCGCTTTTAATCACCGTAATACAGCCGAGATAATAATCTAACAGTCATCTTTTTGGTCTGCCATATAAAAACGGTAGTTGGTGCGAAAGCCGTCAGTACTCTATTGAGAGTAATCGTCGATAAATCTTTTCCAGGCAGCTTAAGCAAGTACTGCACTGGAAAGATGATGTACATCAACCTTGCAGCGTGTCTTTCCGTGCTGCTGCTCGTGATTGGCCTCTCTGTAGGACTCAGCGTTAGCAGCTTCAAAGGAAGTGACGCTCTCGATACAGCGCCGTTGGTCGATGGGTAAGTGATATCTACTTATAAGGAAATTAGGACCAAAGCAAATGGAGTAACGAACGATGAAGAAACTAGTTAGTGGTTCTCAAGTAGTGTCTTAACGACTTGGGGTATTTTGGTTGATTTATAAAAAGAGGCGCAAAAATGTCTCCCTCCGATTTTAATGAAACTTCATACATTTGATAAGTAGGCAGAAATGGGAGAAATATATTTTTTTTATCGGTTGAAACGCGGTTTTACAAGGTGGAACCCCTTAAAGTTTCAGTCTACAATCTTGAAAATCATATGAGATACATTAAAACTTCTAATAAAGAAGTTGTGTGGTTTTTTTTAACCACATCCCGTTGTATGATACAATGGGACGTTTACAAAGAGGGTAAAATGCAATTTATGTGTAACAAACAAATTTCTCATAATCTTATTTTACAATTTATTCAAATTTGCATAGTGACGAAAGGTGAAGAGAATTTTATTAGAAATCCATTGATATGTTATGTGTGAAATTGTTTACAGTTCGTCAGATTTTTTATTATATTACGCGTGCGCGTCCACTGACCCACTACACGATACTAAACCGGACCATGTCGAACGATATTACACTATCGGTCAACGTTATTTATAAGCATAAATGAGAAAGTATGTTTGCGTTGTACATAGGTATTAATTTTGTTAAATTTGCATTAGATATTGCAAAATGTTTGTTGTTAAAGTTATATACTCTCTACCTGTCTAATTTCAAAATTCCCAAATTCTCAAATTCTCAAATTTCAAAATTCCAAAATTCCAAAATTCCAAAATACCCAAATTCCTAAATTCCCAAACTCCCAAATTCTCAAATTTCAAAATTCCAAAATTCCTAAACTCTCAAATTTCAAAATTCCAAAATTCCCAAATTCCCAAATTCCCAAATTCCTAAATTCCCAAACTCCCAAATTTCAAAATTTCAAAATTCCGAAATTCGAAAATTCCCAAATTCCAAAATTCCCAAATTCCCAAATTCCCAAATTCCCAAATTCACAAATCCCAAATTCCTATATTCCCAAATCCTCAAATTTGCAAATTCGCAAATTTTTAAGCTCCTAAATTTCCCAATTCCCAAATTTCCAAATTTCTAAATCTTCAAATTTCCAAATTCTAAATCCTCATATTTCGATATCCTAAGTTCACAGGTTTTCAACTGTACTTTTCAACTTTGTAATAGAAACTTTCTAATATCTACAAAATTTATCGTCCAAGTCGATAATTCATTTTAAAAATTGGTTCTCTAAATTACTGTCTTTTGTTGGCCTTATAACAGTAATTATGTTTAAAAGTCATTTCCTCTTTTTTCCAATTGAATATGCAACATACCACGTTGCAATTGAGGCATCAATCACCGGTGCCATTATAATCAACGTGTTAACCCTTGATCGGTGAATGCTGGGTCACTCAAGACATAACCTAGATTAAATCTGTCTTATATCGAGTTAAGATTGTCATAGATAAGTCACAATACTTGATAGCACACAGTGAACACGTGAAATAGATTATAGTGTTATTTAAAATCAGAAATAACTTCTAACAAGTTTCAGATAGTAGACACTATTATTTTTGCATACTATAATCACAAACTTTGTAGATAACGGTGAATATCAATTATGCCTTCTTTTGCATTGATAGTGCTTTTTATTTGAAAAGTGACGTAAATACGACCTTGGAATCATGTTTAATAAATGTGGAATAAATATAGTACTAAATAATACTTGTTTATCATTGTTTATACTTTTATTTATAATTATACCTATTTAAATTGGATATTTTAATCAGTGTTAAGTTTTTCTTTTGAATATACGTATGTGAAGAAATTAAGTAGTGTGATTAAACGTTGCTATAGCTAGGTGTCGAATATAGTGAAAGCTACTGTAATGAATTAAGTGAAAAAATCGAAATGTATTCGGAATAAATTAATTTAGTTATTTATTGTTATTATTTTTATACTGTTATTATATTTTACACTGCTATCTTGTAGTATTATTTATTATAGTGTATGTTATACTATTACTCAGTATTATTTTGATTATTATTTTTGTACTACCATTATCATGTACAGGGTGTCTCACAATTAGTGTAGGTCCCTGAAATGGGGGGTAGCTGACGCGATTCTGAATAAGATTTCCCTTTGCAAAAATGGGCTTTGAAGCTTCGTTTTTGAATTATTAAGGAAAAGTAGGGACCAATCAGTGCGCCGAGGATTACGCGTGCACAGACGCGAGAACGGCAGCTTCGGATAACGCGTAGTTATCCAACGTATAGTAATGCGACGCGTAGTAATGCAGCGTGTGGATATCCAACGCGTAGTAATCCAGCGCGTGCATATTCAACGCGTAGTAATCCAACGCGTAATAATGAAACGCGTGGTAATTCTAAGCGTAGAAGTCTAATGCGTGGTAATCCAACGCGTAGAAATCTAATGCATGGTAATCTAACGCGTAGTAATCCAGCATGTGGATATCCAACGCGTAGTAATGCAACGCGTGGTAATTCTACGCGTAGTAATCCAATGCGTAGTAATCCAACGCGTACTAATACAGCGTGTGGATATCCAACGCGTAGTAATCTAGCGCGTGCATATTCTACGCGTAGTAATCCAACGCGTAATAATGCAACGCGTGGTAATTCTAAATGTAGAAATTGAATGCGTGGTAATCTAACGCGTAGGAACCTAATGTGTGGTAATCCAATGCGTAGAAATCTAATGCGTGGTAATCTAACGCGTAGGAATCTAATACGCGGTAATCTAACGCGTAGTAATCCAGCATGTGGATATCCAACGATATCCAACGCGAGGTAATTCAGCGCGTGGATATTCAACGCGTAGTAATCCAACGCGTAATACTGGAACGCGTGGTAATCTAACGCGTAGAAATCTACTGCGTGGTAATTCAAGCGTAGAAATCTAATGCGTGGTAATCTAACGCGTAGGAATCTAATA